GTTGTTTTATGAGCCTAGAGCCTAGAGCCAGGGCGCTTTCATTGCACGGCGTCGTTGCTGCCCCGAGGGGAGGGCGATTCTGGGCTGCGCAATTGGGGGGACTTCGTGGCTTTGGGTGGGTGGGTGGGAGCCAGGACGTTGACTTTAAGCGCTGCCGACCAAGTGTTTCACAAATACCAGTGGGACCTCTGTCCACCACCACCCCTCCCTCTTTTGCCTCCTTCCTTCTGATCAATCAGGTTTTCCAAGTATTTGCTCACAGCTGCGTGCTAGGCGTTGAACGCGGGGATTTCTGATTCCCCTTACACGCGCGTGGATATGCCGCGGGGCGTTTTCTTCCAAACGCCCCACGGGCAGAGAACACTGACTTTCATGATAGTGAGATCATTTCCCAAATTAATTGATTCACTAACCCAAAAGAAGAAGATGTTGATGACAGTGGGAGGCAGGGGTCACTCTCCCTTGCACGAAAAAAGCAAGAGCCGTTCTTATGATCTCTCTCTCTCCCCGTAATACAGTCAAGCCCTTTCCAGCATGCGCGATCCTCCCCCGCCGCTTTGCACCTTGCAAATGCAAAAACCCCGGGATTTTGCATTTGCAAGGTACAAAGCTGCGGCGGCAGATCCCGCGTGCTGGAAAGGGCTTGACTGTATTACGGGGAGAGAGAGAGAGAGAGATCATAAGAACGGCTCTTGCTTTTTTCTTGCAAGGGAGAGAGTGACTCCTGCCTCCCACTGTCATCATCATCTTCTTTTGGGTTAGTGAATCAATTAAACCTTTCATGATAGTGATATCATTTCCCAAATTTCCCTTAAATCAGGGAAGAAATCACAAAAAAACCTTTGGACTGAGAATAAGCCTGTTCCTACGATGCCATTTTTGTTCACTGCAGTGTGAAAAGTGTGAAAAAACACACTTCTTTTTCTTCATCTTCTTGTTCCCTATTTACTGGTCTCTTTCAAAGAGGAAATTGTGAACATCAAACTTATTCTCAACTGTCCTAGTGAAAGTTTTTATTGGTATCTATTTTTATTTTTGAAATTTACCAGTAGCTGCTGCATTTCCCACCCTCGGCTTATACTCGAGTCAATAAGTTTTCCCAGTTTTTTGTGGTAAAATTAGGTGCCTCGGCTTATATTCGGGTCGACTTATACTTGAGTATATACAGTAGGTCCTGACTATCCTCTTTCTCAGCGTTTCTCCCTGACACATACAATCCAACACAGCAGATATGCTTGACCACTGTTCTAATGACTGGAAATGTTTGATGGGATCTAGGGAACAGGACTTACCTGTCACAGCACTTGTCCCTTTGAGCAGAATTCCTCCAGAGGTTTGGGCAATATCTGAAAGGCTGGTGTGTCGTCCCCCCATGTGGTGTGGAGAATGTGTTTTAGTTAGTATATAATTGTTTTTTTCCACTATGTTTGCTATCATGCTTATTGTCCCAAAAGTGCTTTTTCAGGAGGCAATTGGACTTTCTTGTGTTTTCTTTTGAAGACATTTCACTTTTCATCCAAGAAACTTCTTCAGCTTTGACAGGATGAACACCCTTTGAATGGTGTGGGAGTAGGAATGGATTTCCAGAGGAAAAATTGCAGACTACAGGAACCAGGAGCACCACTCAGGTGACCCTGAGGACACAGATAAACCTTCAAGTGCTTCAATGACCCTCTAAAAGGATGCAAATGACCAGCTGTCTGCAAGGAATATTAATTCTTCCATTCCCCACTATCCTGTCAGACCTGAAGAAGTTTCTTGGATGAGAAGTGAAACGTCTTCAAAAGAAAAAAAAAAAGGAAGCCCAGTTGCCTCCTGAAAAAGCACCTTTGGGATAACCATGAATTGGATGACTGAGAATCTCTACAGAGATCATGTTTATTTTATCATTTTTAGGTTTGTATCTGTTTTAATCAGAATGCCAGAATCAATGTTGATCTGGACAGCCTAATGCATCTAAATTATAAATACATACACGTATTTAAAAGATACTAATTCAGTATGATCCTAACTGCTCATTAAGATCAATACAAGGAAGTACCTTTTCAACTGAAGAATTTACGTTGGTAAGTGCCCAAGACCCTGGAACGTCTCATCAGACACACAATGTTGTGTGTAACAATGTTGTCAATTAACAATCTTTGAAGTCTTACTGATTGGAAATGTATTTTTATAAAGTACCTTGAAACTTTCGTAGTTGAGATTTATAAGTGTTTTATTAAATCAAAGCTAGAAAAATGTCAGGATGTTTTATGCATCGTACTACAATACAGTCTAGTAGTTTTATCAAATTAATTTGCAAAGCAAAATATTAAAAGAATCACATCAAAGTAAACAGTGCATTATTATTGTTTGCCGTATATTTGATAAAAGAGCATTAAATGTACATATGCTGGTAAATGTATTTGAAAAAATAATATGTGATCTTGAAGGAATTCTCCCTTTATAAGTACTTCTTTTCGATACGTCATGGAGGATAGGAAGATGATATCTTCAGTTAGTTGCTACATGGAGACATGTTTGCTGGATCTTTTTTGAACAAGGATACCAACCAGTTATGTTCTGTATAAAATAAGTTATACATTGATATAGTCAAGTTCCTTATTTAGTAAGCACATAATCTAGCTCTAGAAAAGCTATATTTATGTGATTGCTTCTTCAACATCTGATTTGCAGGAAAGGGGCGAGCCATCCTGTATTTATGAAATTAATCTAGAAATGGTATGATTATTATAACAGCTACATTCATTTATCATACCCTTTTCCCTCCAATGCAGGAAAACTTTATTCTTATTATATTGGTGCAATAGGAAGCAAGCGCATCAGTGTTTGGAAATGATGTTCTTGTAACATCACAACCACTATGGAAGGGGTGTGAAGCTCCTCACATCCACAGATTAAGTGGTCAAAACTCAGGCAAATGTATCTTATGTACTCAGTGGCTTCAAATATGTTTAGGTATAAATCTCATGTAATCTGTGTGAGGGATATGGAGGGATTGATGGATGGATAGATTAAATTTAATTTTCAACCCCTATTAGGCATTTTTGCCCCCTACCATTCTTGGAAGCTCTGGATGTTTCCAATAATTTTATGTTTCCCACAATGCCAACAAAATTAATGTAGAAAACGTTATTATCATCTACTCCCATAATAAAAAAGAACATGTTCATACCTTCATAACAGTCAGGGATTGGAAGTTGGCCATCTATGCATTGAACTGGTATTTTATAACTGCAGTTCTCTGTGTTACTTTGGCAGAAAAACCAGATTGTCTCAGCATGCTGTATACTCTTAAGTTTTTTCACTTTTATTTTCTGCCCATTGTATAACACTGTCGCTTTTTCCACTGGTATGTTACATGGTGCTACCGGAAGAGGAAGAAGGAACATAAAGTACATAGTTTAAAAAATTCATTGGTCATCAATCATAAAAGCACCATAAGATATGAAATATTTGACTACTTTATTTAACTAGTGATTTTCTAAATTAAGTAAATGTTGTCAAAGGCCGGCTATTCAACTATTGTGTATTTTGCACAGCAACCTCTATTTAAACATGTTCTTTATATATATCTTCTGTATCACCCAAAATATTTTACCCTTTTTTTTTATATTGTGTGTGTTCCAAAGCAGTTAATCACATATAATAAGTATACCTTTACACATTATATCTTAAAGATTCATACTTTAAAATGACTGAGACAAACGGGGGGGGGGGGACCCAGTTGCTATACTTAAAGGAGATGGGAACACATTTCTCCCAGCTACCTTGGTTACATTTGAAGACTATTTGGAAGTTCCAGCTGATGCAGAAGATGGCAGCCTAGATGCAAATCGATAAAGGTCATCACACCCAAGTTACACCAGTACTGTAGACACTGTAGTTCAAAGGTGGGTTTTGGTTATTATTATGGTACTTTAAGCTCTTAAGTGATTTTGGCTCTGAGGTACTTCCAAGATCACCACCTCCAGGTAAAACTAACCCATCTGGTACAGTTGTCCTGGATGAGAATGGTGGTGGGTCCCACTCCAGGGAAGTGAGACGGGCGGGGGGACCCAGAGTTAGCAATATCTCAGCTGGGGTCCTCATCCTATGGACTAGCATTCTTCTTGAGGTAGCTAGTGATAACTTGGGCATCATTTTGAAAGTGTAAAAATGGAGTGATTTTCCACAGCCTTTGAAAGCCAACATTGCCTCAGTTTGTTGAGTACTGTTTGATTATTATAAGGTTCTCTGTAAGTGACTTGATCTTTTTGTATTGTGCTTTCATTCATTCTTGCATTCATTCATTCATTCATTCAATTTCTATAGCTGCCGTTCTCAACTAAGTCACACTGGGCAGCTTACAATGCTATAATTATAAAACAAAATAATTTTAAAAAGCATTAAAACAGTAAAAAAAATCCGCAAAGTAAATTATTACAAACAGCAGCCCTGATGATTATTCAGCTAATAGTAAAACCAAATAAGAGAGCCCTTCACATGTCCCCTGCCCCAGGCACAATAACTGTATATAGCCAAGCTTTTAAAATTGAAAAGCCCACCGGGTTGGGGCCATTCTGATCTCTGAGGGGAAAATATTCCACAAGGCAGGAGCTACAGCAGAAAAAGCCTGTTTTCTGGTTCCTGCCAGTCAGCACTCTTTGGCTGATGGGATCTACAGCATGACCAATATGTTGGATCAGACTGGATGGGTAGAAATACTTGGAAAAAGACAGTCCCCCTCAGGATTCTATTTCATGTTTTTATACTTGCAAGCCACCAGATTCTGATGATAAATAAATAGTAAACAATCAAACATTTTATACTGTCAGAAATAAATATTTTAAAGTTCCTATAGCTTTAAAATCCACTAGCTTATTCTGCACTCAATAAAAAATAGACCATTTGACATTTTTCTCTGTGACATCCTTTAAGAAGCTTCTGAAGGCTGAACATGCCCAGTTCTTTCATTCTCTCTTTATCCAATTTAATTTCTAGTCCTTTGATGTCACTCCTTTACTTCTTTGAACTAGTTCTGTATCCATCCTAAATGTGATGCTCAGAAACAGTGCTTAAGTCATAGCACAGCAGAATAAAACCAAATCAAATGACTAAAGTATCTAAAAATTACTTGTAATACATAAATTTAAAAATTGTTTTTCTAGCCTTATCATTCTGCTAACTCATATTCAATATACAGTCAATGCTGTTCCAAAATCTTTTAAAATGAAAATGATTACCAAACCAGATACTCCTATATTTATTTCTATGTGTTTGATTTTCCTTCCTAAGTGAAGTTTTTAACTTATCTCTGCTAAATTCAATTATGCAACTTTTGGCTCAGTTTTTATACTTATCAAGATCATGTGAAATTTATTTCTGTCTTCTAAGGCAGGGGTCCCCAACCGCCGGTCCGCGGACCGGTACCGGGCCGCGGAACAAGCCTTACCGGGCCGCTGGTTGCTGGGCGCCGCCATCTTTTTTTTGGTAAAAAAGCGCTTCTGGTGAGCTTTTCCGGGTAGAAAGCTCACCGGAAGCGCCTTTTCGTCATAAAAAGATGGCGGCACCCAGTTGACGCCGGTACCGGGCCGCGGCGCCCAGCTGATGTCGGAACCGGGCCGCGGCGTCGAAAAGGTTGGGGATCCCTGTTCTAAGGTATTAGCTATAATTCCCATTTTGTGTCATTTGTAGATTTAGTAAACATTCTGTGTTCCTCTTCATCGTTTGTGAATTCTGATATTATGGATTAATAAATTAATTAAATAAACTGGTCTAATCATTATGAACATTCATCTATGTTAAGATACATTTAAAAAAACAAAAGCTAATACAATACATGCTGTTTTACCTTTGCAAGTTGGTTTATTTGACCAAGTTCCTGTTTTCTCACACCTTGATTCTGAAGCTCCATCCATAATATAAGGTAGATTACAACCATAACTCACAGTATCTTGATAATGAAAAGTATTATGAAGAGCAAAGTTTATGAATCCATGTTCTATTGGTTCTGGATATGGACATTCTACAGCTTTTAGGAAGAAAAAAAGAGAGAAAATGGGAAATCCAGGACTTGCATTTTGGGCTAATAATCTATATTTCCTGCTTGTCCCAATGTGAGGAACATGTACTGTTTTGGAAAGCAAGAACAGAGGATGTTGTCCTCGGTGCACTCCTATCTCGCTGAGAGCAAAACCTTCAACCAAATTTTCTTGCAGGGTATCTTCTGCTGATGGCCCAAGCTAGGAGAAGAAGCAGGGAATCCAGACAGGACAGTCACAGCTGTCCATCACTTTGACCAAAGGAGAGAGCTGAAATTTGGAGAAGCAATTTTTACATGAGATTTTATGTCCAGCTGCTTTATGTACTGGAGGCAAGCAGCTGAAGATTACCTATAGAAAAGTCCTTTATGTCCTGATTCCAAAGTTGATCGAGACCTAATAAAAGAATTCCTACTAGGTGATGGTTGGGAGACCATTCAGAGGCTATTCACCTAATCTTACTTTAACCCAGTTTTCTCCGGTGTGGTTCTGTCAAGATACATTGCCAATACAACCCCAAAATTCCCAACTACCAATACTATATTACAGGACTTACATTTGCATTCAGGTAATGGAGTCCAGCTTCCATCAGCCTGACAGGTAGCTGTTTCACTTCCAAACATTGCAAAAGGTAACAGACAACTAAATCTGATTGTGTCTTGGAAAACAAATGTCTCTCCAGACTCAATTTTATGGTAAGAGAGAACTCCAAATTCAGAAACTGGAGGTGGAGGGCAAATCACAGCTAGAAAAACAAAGCAAATCTGTTTAACACAATGCCCCTCCCAAAAATGCTATAAATCACACTTAAACTTTTGCCCTATGGAATTCATTATATAATTGCATCTTTAAGAGTGCTTGTTAAATAGATGAAATGCTTGTAGCTGATTCTGCAAATAGTCTGTTTACTGCATCACCAAACTCGAGATTAAACTTAATGTGCAGTCAGTGGAATTGTGATCCATTATTAAGAAAATGCCAAACAGCATACAGTGTAGTTTTTAAAAACAGTGGTGGTATTTGACTGGTTCTGCCCAGTTCTGGAGAGCCGGTAGGAGCGATGAGCAGCTGAGACCAAACCAGTTCTGCTGGCTCTGCTGTTGGGTCCACCCACCCGCCAGGGCTCCCATAGTCACCTTTATCCGCTGAATACGAAGCACAGCTGCTTTGCGCGGCACAGAAGAGCACCGCATGGCAGCTGCTGAAGCGACCAGGATTGTGCAGGCTTGCAGGAGGTGAGTTAGAATGCCTCTGCACCTGCGCAAATGCCTCTGTGGCTGCACAAAGTGCACGCAAAGTGTGTGCACACATGCGCAAAGCGCGCCCGCCAAGCCACGCCCACCAAACCGGTGGCAAAAACATTTGAATCCCACCACTGTTTAAAAGAGTTTCTAGAGTAAAGACTATGTCAACCAAATCTGTTAAGGTTTCCTCAAACTTTATTGCAATCCCCTATTTCAAGTTGTATTGTGGCATTATTTATTTTACATAATGAAATCCATCGAATGGTTCTCACTGATCATGTGAATAAGGAGATTTACATATGTAGCTATTCAGGAATAAACCTGGAAGAGAACTGAAAAATGCACAAAGCAGATTTGGACATTGTGCTAAATTACAATTACCACACCTGGGCTACAAAATAATTGAATGACCAATACAGGGAGTCCTCCACTTAAAACCATTTGTTTAGTGACCATCTGAAATCACAACAGCACTGAAAAAAGTGACATGACCGGTTTTCACTCCATGGTCACATCAAAATTTGGATGCTTGGCAACCAGATGTATTTCATGTTGCACTGATTGGGGCTCAAGTGATTATGATTTGGAACCTTCCCAGCTGTCTCCAACAAACAAAGTCCATGGGGCAAGTCTCCCTCAGGAATGTTTCTGATTGAGATCACTCTAAAATAAATTTCCTATTTCAATTGTCTTTCCATCTAAAGGTGTGCACATTGAGAAAAGTTAAAATACCTGGATAAATTCACTATTCCAATTAGTGAAACAGTCGGCGCATTTCTTTACCTGTCTATATTAAGATCTTGTCATACTTACGATAACATTCGGGCAGGCTTTCACTCCAGCTCCCTTCTACCTGGCACTGGCTGCTTGTTGGCCCTTCAAGAACAAACCTGGGTATAAAACTCTTGTGAGAGCAGTTCTGAAAATGGTTACATCATGCTTGATAAACATCTTCTAATAAAAATGCAGGGGGTCAGGCAATAACAGAAGAGGTAGTCCTCGACTTACTACATTCATTTAGTGATGATTTGAAATTACAACGGCACTGAGAAAAATGTCTTATGACCATTTTTCACACAACCGTCGCAGCATCCCCATGGTTACATGATCAAAATTCAGTGGCTTGGCAACTGGCTTATATTTATGATAACTGCACTATCCCAGGGTCGTATGATCACCATTTGCAACCTTCCATATTGGCTTCCAACAAGGAAGGTCAATAGGGGAAACCAGAACCACAGAACCACTTAATAACTGCAATGATTCATTTATCAGCTGTGGCAAAAAGGGTCATAAAATGAGGCACAACTCATTTAACTACTGCCTTGCTTAGCAAATGTACAGTTTTGGGCTCAATTGATTATAAGTTGAGGACGACCTGTAATAGTTGGGGAGCATTTATTGCATTCCACTTTAACATATTTTGTTCGGTTTGGCTTCCTGTCTTCTTATATAAATTCAGCCACCGTGGTTTCCAAAACACAATTTGTGACTTATACTGCTGGGTCAGCCCAGCCACAGGGATTTATTCAACAAAATGAATGTAAAATAAAAAATGGCTTAACACAATATGAACCTTTGCAAAATTGTTGGGGTTCTCTTTTGAACCTCTGGAACAAATATCTTTAACTGTGTCAGTGAGGAGGTTTCTATGTTGTGGAAACCACAATCGAAGGTGTCAGATGACTCAATCACCCCATTCACGAAGGGCTAAATTTAGTCCCCAAATGATGCAAACTGGTCCAACTAACCCCACCCATATAGTTATGGTTGGAGACAGATTTATTTCCCTACCTAGTTTTTCAGAAAAACAAATAGGGAAAAAAATGTCTAGAGAAAAAAATAAAAAGCGGGGGGGGGGGGAGCCTCTCATTATAGAAGTCGTAGCAAACTTCTTAACTGTTGACAGACTTCAGCAACTGAGTCACACCTGCTTGTTACCTGTCTGGTCAAAAGGGAAGAGACAAGTGAGGTCCTGTAGTGTTGGCTGGCCTTGATGCTTCATGAGATCCTAGGGACTTTCTGGAGAAGGTGGGTAAGGCTCCATGAATGGAATGTCTAGTGAACGTTGGTTGTCTGCCACCAGACTCTCCAACTTTGGGTGAGTTAAACAGTATTGCAGGACTGGGATCAAAGCCTGGTTTTGGTTTTATTTTCCTACTTTACACGTTTTAATAGTGTTTGAAACATATCACAACTCGCCTTTGAAACTGTTTCGCCAGCAGAGTCATAAAACCTACCAGTTGAGATTTCTAACTGGCCCTTATGGTATTTGTTTTCCTGAAACAATATTATCATATTCCCCGGAAAACCTGTAAGGACTAAATATGTTTTTTTCCCCTCCTCCAAATAATTGTATTGCGTTTTACAAGGCATATGCATTAAAAACAACACAACTTAATTATCAAAAGAAATGATAAAAGGGTAAAAGAATAGGAATAAAGTGTGAAAATGTATGAAGAAAAAGAAATAAAAATACAAACATATGCAATTACTTTCAACTTCTTCCAAGAACACTTACTACACTTATAGAGAACACTTACTATGAAACTCTTAGTTTAAGACTAGAAATAAATGTCCATTACACACACACACACACACACACATTTTTAAAGCAAGATCTTCATTTAAAAATTAATAAAGGGAATAAGAATAGAGAATATTATGCATTTTCTTGATATAGATAACATGAAGTACATGTTACAAATATAATTTGTGAGAGATAAAGGTTCATTTCAATAGGCTGGTATACAAACTTACCCAGTATTACAGGAAAAGTTTATGACACTCAGGTAGTTGAGGTTAGTGATGTGTATTTCTCCGTTGTCCAAGGTTCCAGGATAGGGACATTTCTTGGCTGTTTTAATAGATATATTTATTTATTTATTTATTTATATAAATATATATATATAACAGCTGTAAAAGTCTGACTCACAGACGAACACAATACAGAAGCCTGATGATGGCAGATGAGATTCTGCCGAAACGTTGCTACAACTTTAAAAGCACAACTATAATGACATGGGAAAATACCCGAACAAAGCTGAATACCATACATGTAAGTACCCGCGAAATATATTAATATTTAACTGGGGAAGGGACAAATAGATATACCGTATACAAGAAGCAGTCACCAAGTTAAGCCAATTCATTCCAATGGATGGGTTTATTAACTTATTAACAATAGATCATTTTCTACTTGATGAACTAAGACAATATAAACCCATAAACTTAATAGCACAATTCACCTGCTTGCACTCAAGAACAATGATGTCCCAGTCACAACACACCACAAAGGATGAGTGAGATCTGTGGAGATCAAGTAATCAAGGCTTTTTTTCCCAGGCTAGAAACTTCTGGAGAAAGTCAGTGCTGGGAAGCAGATACCATAGGAGTGGTTTAAATTTTTAGTACAATCATTTATTTGAAAATAGTTTGCCCCTAAGAAAAAGGTCTAATGTCATGTGAGCTTCAAGAAGCCACACCATTCAGAATAGTTTGCCTGCATTATTATTATTTTTTTGCCTAATCTCTATTGTTTGCTCTTTTAAACACGATTGGAGAATCTTTTTAATAGCTAGGTGACAAAAAGAAACCAATAATTACAGCTTTTTTCACCAGAGCAAGAAAAGCTTTTATCGATGTTTCCATCTGTTGTGCATTATCAAAAGCAATCTTTGGTGGTGGTGGTGGTGGGGATTTCAAAGAAGGGTAATAGATCGTCAGTGATCTGGACCAGTGAGGTGGCCATTGCAAATAAAGCCTATGGGTACAGTAGGTTCCAACTTAGAAGCCAAAGCAATTGTGGATTCATTTAACATGCCCATGGTGATGATTGCCCAATTAATGTGACTGTTTGATCTGAGGATGTGCACAGATCCTCAGAAGACCTCCTGCCATTTTCAATGCCTTCTCTTCTTGCTTGACATAAGTGCCTGGGGTAACCTGGGCAAATAAAGGAGGGGCAAACCCAAATCCTCCTCCTAGGAAGAATGAATCAATAATTTTAGGTTATACATTTCACACCTTATGAAAATGCAATAAAAGCGTTTGATTAGACTCTTTCTTTCCTTGTAATAATTTTTATTTTCCAAAAGGAGAGAGATGTTTGTAGGTTTTTCCTCCATGGATGGCAGAATAAAGTGGCTTACTTTAGATTCTGACCTGGGTCTAACAACATACTCAACCAAATCAGGGAATAACTCGGTCAGATCTTCATCATGGTGGCTTTGACAGCATTCAATCCCATTAAATCAATTTTTTTTAAAATGGCCATTTTGAAAATATGGAATGTACATCACTGGCAGCTAAAATCAGAAGACTACATCTGATTTACTTTGGCCATGTTATGCATGCGAATTCTTTGGACAAGATAATAATGCTAGGAATGTTTAGTGGACAAAGAAGAAAGGATGAACAAAGAACCCACTGGCTTGATAACATCAGATTTGATGGAAAGTAGAACATACAACAATCAAAAGAAGCTGTGCTTGGCAGTAGCATGGAAAGCACTTGCCTATAATGTCACAAAGAGTCCAATACAACTGAATGGTTAAAAACAAAGCAGCCAACTTCTCCAAGAAGTTATTAATATCACTGAGTCCTTCTACCAGGATACCATTGGTATTCCAAACTCTACTACATCACTCAGACTTTCTGGATTGACTTGGTGTATATGGGGCTGCTATCACAGAGGCATGTTTGAAATTGCCAGGTCTTAGTCAAGAGTACTGAAATGGACACACACACACACACACACACAAAACCCCATTCTTTCTCTTCAGATTGTTTTGTTGGAGGATCAGGTAAACCAATAGAATAACTGGGTTTTGTTTTTTCAACAACACAGCAGATGGAATGGGATAGATTTACCCATGATCTGTTTACCTCAATCCTTTTTGAAGTTCCCACAAGGGACTAACCTGCTTCCTTGACCTAACCAAACATGCTGTGTCCCAAAGGTGCTTTTTCAGGAGGCAACTGGACTTTCTTGCTTTTTCTTTTGAAGATGTTTCACTTCTCATCGAAGAAGCTTCTTCAGTCTGACAGGATAGTGGGGAATGGAAGGATTTCTATTCCTTGCAGACAGTTCGTCATTTGCATCCTTTTAAGTGCTTCAATGATCCTCTAAAACAATGTGGCATAGACTTCAGTCCCAGGGTCCAATCCTTGATGAATAGAGCCGTAGTGACGGAGTGGTTTGAATGCATTATTGCAGCCAAACTCTGCATTCCATTCCCAGGAGTTTGATCCTGATCAGCTCAAGGTTGCCTCATCCTTGCATCCTTCCGAGGTCGATAAAATGAGGACTCAGATTGTTCGGGCAATATGCTGACTCTGTAAACTGCTTAGGGAGGGCTGTAAAGCACTAGGAAGCAGTATATTGCTACATACTAACTACATGTGTGTGCCTTCAAGTCATCATTAATTCCTGGTAACTACCTGGATTGGTTACTGTAATTTTCTTGGCAAGATTTTTTACCATTGTTTTCTTCCTAGGGCTCAGAGAGAATGACTGACCCAAAGTCATCCATCTGGCTTTGTGTCTAAGACAGGACTAGAGCTCCCATTTCTGGTCTAATGCTTTTAACCACTACACCAAACTAGCTCTTTTAGGATTGATCTGCAGCAAAAGCTCCCTTAGAATGTTGATACACAGATAGGCTTTTATCTCAAGAATATGATCCCATTCTCATGATTTTGATTAGGAGAGGGGGCAAAGGGGCAGCCATGAAAATTCAAAAGTTAGAGATATTTCATAGAGAAGAGAACACAATAGCTTTTTATTTAAAAAAGCAAAAATATTGATTTGTGTGGAAAAAGCACCAAAAAAAGCAAACTACAGACATACTTACGTATACATCTGAATATGACAGTAGGCCATATACCAGATGAAGGACATATGTATCTCCTTGAGCCAGACTGGGGAGTATAACCTGGGTTACACTGATATACAATGTGTTCTCCAGTTACGTATGCTTCTTTATTTATGTTGATGGTAGCCAGAGGAACTTCAGGTGGCCTAGGGCAAACTAGAAGACACCAAGCACTAACAAGTCATGTATGAAAAGATATGTTGGTACATGAAACAGTAGTCTTGCATGCTCCTGGAGCCACAATATTTTTATTTATTTATTTGGCTGGTTGGATGTTTATTTATTTAAATTTATTTGCCACCCATCTCATTTCAATATTAATATTAATGAGTATATTGTCTGTTTTCACAAATGAGACCAAAGGATACATGAATGCAACATAGATTCTTTATTTTTTAAAAATATTAAATTTTAGTGTATGATAAAATACAAACAAAGACAAAAGAAAAAGAAAGGAAAAGGAAAAGCACCAAGATAAAGAAAAAGAAAAAGAAAAGCACTGACTTCTGGGGGGTTTTTCAGCTGCAGTAGAGCACAGGAAAATTTACAGCCACAACCTTACATTTCTAGCTAATTCAAACCATTTCTTTAACAACAAAGTCAATTTAATCATCAAAGCCCAGCAAGATAAATTCTTTAGACAACAACCGTATATCAGAGTTTGGAAGAGTGGGATCAAGGTCCATCATTCTTCATTTGCTTTCTTTTTTAAAGAATAAAATATAAGATAATGGAACACAAAAGGAAAGAAAGATAAGATAGAAGAAACAGAAACAACTATGAATAAAAAGTACTGTGGAAAACTTTGTAGTGACATATTCTCTCCTTCTCTTCCATTTGAGACCCCAATCACTACACAATTTAGATACTTATACGAAATGATGAACATTAAGGATTCTTGCTAATTTGTGTTTAAGCACCTTCATCTGTTAATTTTAATTGGTCTGAGAACTTTTTTTCTAGAAGCCATATCCCAAATGTCTAAATTTGCCTTGCTGTGTAATATGTCAAGTATCCATCCTTGATTTTCCTTCTTAAGTAGCACCACTGACTTATAGCCTTCAATTGTAGCTGTTAAATAACAAGGTTTACATCTTGCAGGGTTCATCTAGGTTAAGTTTTTTGCAGAAAATCATAATGGATATAACAATGGCATAAAAACAAAGGGATTCTTTTAAGATCTTATGAAATATCTCTCTTTCAGATCGAAATTTGTATTTAAAATGAGAATGAAGTCTCAAATACATTGATTCAGAAGATATTAGACATTAATATGCAATTAAAACCAGAGCTTTTCCTTCAGGACTGATTGATAACAATTGGAAAAAAAATCCAGGATTTTTTTAACGTATGATAACTGTAAGATGATTATGATAGGCTCAAAAATGAAAATATTCAGCATTACCCACAATGAAGGAATGGTTGGTGAAAATAATGAAACATGGCCAAATGGCTAAACTAACTTCTTTGATTGAAGAAAAGACATTATCTAAATTAAATGCTGATTGGAAACCCATTTTTGCTTGAAATATTAAAAAAATGAATGTTTGATTTGCAGTAATAGATAGTAGAAAAAGAGAGCTTTTTCTGGTTACAGAATAAGAGATAATTTTGTATATTCTGCAAAGAAAATTGGAAGCTTTAAAAAAAAATCTTATTGCACATTTTGCATATATAGATCTATATTACGGGCTCTAAACCATTTTTTTAGTTCTGACTGTCCTAATCAACAGATATTTTGCCATTCTCTTCAAGGAGAAGGGAGGCAGTTTGGATGTGCTGACAGAATTGTTCATTCAAGCTGGAGAAATTGTCTTGCCAAATATTCCTGCCTTGCCAATTTCATTTCTAAGTTACCCGTGAAGTAATTTATGACAAAATTTGGAAAACAGGTCAAAATTTGGTGGTAATCTGATTTTCCCCACAAACCAATGTTTTGAAAGCATTATGTTTAATTTCTGTAATAATTTCCATTTGGTTAATATTGTTTTTGCAATTTTTTTTATTATTACCTTTGGTTGGTTTTGCTGTTTTTTTCCTGGTTCTCCTTCCCTTGGGAAGGTGTGGGGGAAGAGATCCTGGTCCTGCACAATTGTGTTTTATACATATTTCCACTTTTGCATATCACCTTAGCCTTAGCCTTCTGAATACTTTCAGATCCCTCCCCCTCACCAAGATTCTTCATTCCTGCTATGTTTCAAGCATGAGTCCACAAATTTAGATGAAACAACTTGGCTTGGTAATTAAATCCTACAGTACAATTCACAAAGTCCCTAGCTCAAAATTCTCTGTAAAATTTCATGCAACTGCAGCCTTGCTTATTAATAACAGGAGAGCTATCAGACAGAATATTTGTAACTGGAACAGTAACATAATATAGCATTAACCATAAGCATACTTTGGGGTATATTTTATGTTTTTATTTCTTCAGCTGACAACTTGTCTTTCTACTCTGGTGAGGGAGATGATATTTTTATTTTAAAAAAAGGAACTAAAACAGTTAATAAAAAATTAAAACTTAGATTAAATTTAATCTTTTATTTAACCATTACCTAAATTAGGTAATATCATCAGTGCTAGTCTGACTATCATTGATGATATTACCTAGTTTGGACAATGAAAGACTGCAAGAAAACAACCAAGCTCAGAAAGCTTCAAGGACCCCTCAATTCCAACCCTAGCTCCTGTAAGTATTCTCCTTTTATTTTATTTAACCTGTTAACCAACGTTGAAAAATTTATTTAATGTTAAAACAGGTCCTAAGCTAAGGCTTCGAGTTAAATTAGAGATGTGAAAGACACACAAATATTTGCCTATGTTCAAAATACTGTACTTATAGTTTGCATTGAAGAAAGAAAGAATCACAAGATACAGAATGGGGATAAAAATTGTCTCACTTTGTTCCCCAGCAAAAAATGGCTCCTGAATTACTAATGCGAGAAGGAGATTATTTGGGGACATCACCCGTGAGAAAAGGGAAAAGGAGACAGTGCTGGGCCACGTTCCCTGTCTGGATCACTGAGCTATTTAGAAAACAATATAAAAAGAATGAGCTGCATCGATATGCCACTTAGTTTAGCATTCAGATGGTTGATCAGATAATTTCTAGCAACATTTTAGTATCCTTTAGTGAGATTTGTAGGAGCAATTTACAAAGATGAAAATCCTATTTTGCATGTTTTGGAAATATTCAGTAGGCAAGTTTCTACTGACTCTGCAACCGAATTCATGAATAGGAGGCGTGCATAAGCGCACCAACGTGCCTACCGCCCCTGTCCTATTGTTTCTTTTATTTTTCTTATATGTATCCATGTATTCATAACTATGTTTTTACTTATACCTATTATCTTGTAAGCAACTGACAAACCAAATAAAAAAAATTAAAATAAATAAATAGATAAGGTCAACACTTTTGATTTCATAAACAGAGCGTAAATACATACATGCAAATTAACATGCATAGACACCATTTAAGAAAATGGAGGGGGAGATCTACAAAAATCTCATGCCACAATATTCTGACCAGTTTCCAAGAAATATAATATCTTGTTAAAACAAATGCAAAAACACTTACCTTTATCCGCAAGAGCAACATGGGTTATTCCAACTAAGCATAAGCTAAACAGAACTAGAAACATGACTGCAGGTTTGCAAAACCTCAGAACGAATCCAAATGCAGTACTCTGCTTGCTGAGATAAATACCAAGCAAAGCTAAATATTAGCTTCCTCCTACATTTGTTTATATTGTTAGCAATCAAAGAAAAAAGAGATCCTTATACCGCTGAGTAAATAAATTTCATAGGAAGTCTTGCACAGTCTTTTGCAATGGTTACAAAAGTTGAGATATAATTAAGTCTGAAGGTCTAGTATGTTGGCAAATGTTTTGCAACCCATCACTTCATTTCTCAATCTTGATCAAATATAGTGGACAGACAGATGATTTTTAAATGGTAGGAATTCAAAGAAACAATGTCAGAGATTGGCGTGCTTGGATGGTTAACAAGATCTAGGAATTTAGAATCAAAAAAGTCTATCTGATATCCACCCTTTCTAACCCTTTTACACAAACCCCCATATGAAACATATACAAATACTGGGTGAATGTTATTGCAACATTCCATGCCAAAAAAGGGGTGAAATTGGTTTCCTGTTAATACAAAGCATTTTTCTATTACCCCTTGTTCCACCTTTGGAATAGTTTTGTCATTAAGAAAGGATACATTCTGATACCAGACTAAATGCATTTAAATTACTGTTAAATAGGACTATAACTTTGACAATGTTCAGAAATTATTATTATATTGTTGCTATGTGTTTTAACTTTACATGTCAAGAAAAACCTAATATAGGATCCTCTGATTTTCTGTACCAATTATAAAAGTAATTATGCCTTTATTTTGGAGCATCTGTATAGGGGTTTAGGAGAATTCACCTTGGCCATCTCCCCACAGCCACCTCACCATGGTCAATTTGCTGCGGGACAGCTCGTCGTGGCAAACTTACCACAGACAACTCTTTGCGGGATAACTCGACACAATAAATGTTAACCGCCACTGTTTTTTTTTTACTTTATTTCCATTTTGGTCAATGGAAATAATGTCGAAGAAACTGTGGTGAATAACATTTATTGCGCTGAGTTATCCCACAAAGAATGGTTCCATGGCGAGTTGTCTCACAGCAAGTTGATCAGGGACAGATAGCTGTGGCGAGATGGCCTCAGAAGTTGTAATAGGTTCAACTGTAATAGATTCAATAATGCTAGCCACTGAACTCTCAAAAAGTAAGCATATAAAAATGTTTTTGCAGCCTCTTCAATTTAACAAGATACTACAGGTAGTGTTCACTTACCAATGGTAACTCAGATTGGGAATTCTATTGCTAAGTGACATTGTGGTAATGATACATAACCACAATGACTTACAATGGAACATCCAACAGACCCAGATTCTATCATTAGGTGAATCTGACTTGGTTGCAGAGTCCTGGGGTCACATGATTGCCATTGGCAACTTCCTTCGCTTTCCTTACTAGAAGTTGGCCATGAAAGTTGCAGACGGCAATCACTACAACCTCATAATTGTGAGCCAATTGCACAAAAAACCACAAGGATGCTGTGATGGCTGCAGTTACATCTGCAAGTACCCTCTAACCACAGTACAGTCTTCATTTGATGTTTTCTGTGTGTGTATTTGTGCGTGACAGAAGAACAGAAAAAAGATGTTTTTGAAGTTTAAATTTATGGGGGGGGGATTCATAATCTAAACTGTTGCCTTTTTGCTTAGAGGTTTCTTATTAGCAGAGAAATTGAGAGAGTTGGGATATGAGAGAGGTGATGGTACAGTGGTTAGAATGTATTGCAGGCAAACTCTGCCCGCTGCCAGGAGTTCGATCCTGACCGGCTCAAGGTTGACTCATCCCTCCGAGCTCAGTAAAATGTGGACCCAGATTGTTGGGAACAATATGCTGACTCTGTAAACCGCTTAGAGAGGGCTGTAATACACTGGGAAGCGGTATATAAGTCTAAGTGCTATTGCTATTGCTATAAGGGAAGCATCGTTAAATTTCCAAGCTACAAAATTGCGCGACTGTATAGCTTTCATGTGGAGCTTAGGAGGCAGGAAACCAATCAGTGATAGAACCAACATGTTGAGTATTGTTAAGTTTTAACCCTACCCTTTTTTGTAACCCCCCTCCCTATTTTTCTCCCATGTATTTCAGTGAGAAGGGAAAGTAGAGTCCAGAACTTTTCCTAGATATTGTGAGAAATAACAGACTGTAGATATGATTGGGGGGGGGGGTGGGGAGTCTCTTCCATGTTTGTGGCAGCTATGCCCCATCTTTAATGCCAACCTCTTTTGTCCTCTCCAGTGCCTTTTCCTTGCCAGCAGAATAATTCAGACAACGCAATGTTCTGCCAACATCACTGGACAGTTTGGAAATAAAGCTGTTGGCCTATCATTCATGCTGAGAGCTGATCTTAAATTTTGCCAGCAAAGGGAGGTTTTGTAAAATCCCACAGACTTTCAGCTAGCCAACCTAGAGTAGAAATATGCCCCTGGTGGTACAATCCATTCTCATATATAATTCTGTTCTTTTGTAACATAATTTAGGTATAATAATATCTATTAATGCGGATACATATTTACATCTTTTAAATTAGACATTTTCTTATATTAGGAAGATTTTTTTCCCCTGCCTAAGACTTTGTGGCTACATGACAATATAGCTTTCCAAAAAGAGTTCCTAAAGTTTATGTCTAAAAAGCTTAGAAGTTTGCCAAGGGTAATTAAGCTGAAACAAAAATGGCTTGACTCCTAGGAGCAATTTGAATATGACTTCAAAAAAAAGTTAAAAATTAGTGCCAGCCTTCAGGTTTAGTGGAGTTCACTAAGAAAAGAATAGGGGGGGAAAGGCAGGAGGAATCTAGATTAAAAAAATAAGATTACTGTGTTGACATTATTCATTATGAATAAAGCCCTATCGCAAACAGATAGACAGCAATCTGACAATGATACATGATCTATTGGTTAGGAGGAATCTGGTAGCTGTTTCCTGATTAACAATTTTTATTAAAGACTATGAACTTTTGTGAGGTACAGTTCATTTTATCAGGTGCATGGGGTGATACAGGATTTAAATTGGCATGAAATAGAAGGGAAAAGGGGGGAAGGGCAGGATAGTTATGCAAGTGCATTGTATATGTGAGATAGATTACAAGTACCTTATCAACTAACAATTACTCAAAAATGCTTTGTGTTTGCTGAGACCTTCGGAGATAGCATGAAACTTTTTGATGTATTGAATTCATCAATCTCTTGCTCAATTGTGCTGGTAAGGTGGTTTCCCCCTCTCCCCCTCCTTTCACCAAAATGACTACACTGAGCTCTGTATTGGAACAACCTTGGAAGTTAAAATCCCCTGCGCCCTTGTCTTGAGTATTGGTGTCAAGCTTGTGCCACTAAATTATTTTATGCAAAGCCTACCCCGTTTGTCCTTTGTAAAATCTACAGGGGAATTGCTGGCAGATGAGGGCATATATCACATTAGAGGAAGTGTGAAGTTACTTCTGTACTTGTGTGTGAAATTATTGGGGGCTGTGTGGCAAAACATACCCCTGGATTTTTCAGACCCTCTGGTTCCTGTTTTAATATGAGTTTCCATTGCTTCTGGTCATTTGTGAGAATCTGCATTAGGATGGATCATTTTCTATATTGAGGGTGGGCATATAATTCTCCCAAGGGGGCATATGAGAAACTGGGACTGTTGTGAGGGCTGAACCAATAGGGCTGTGAAGGTGCGTAGGCATGCATTCTCATCCTCAGGTCCTGTGCAGAGCACATGGGGCAGCAAGTGTTTTCCAGTGGTTCCAATCATTTGCAGCATCTTTGACATCATCCCAAGGGACAGTAATAGCAATAGCAATAGCACTTAGACTTATATACCCCTTCACAGTGTTTGACAGCCCTCTCTAGTGGTTTACAGAGTCAACATATTGTCCCCAACAATCCTGGTCCTCATTTACCAACCTTTGAAGGATGGATGGATAAGTCAACCTTGAGCCTGGTTGAGATTCGTTCTGCCAAATTGCCGGCAGATAGCAGTCTGCAGAAGTAGCCTGCAGTACTGCACTCTAACCACTGTGCCACCGTGGCTCACAGTAATAATCTTAAGATCTTCCTTAACTATTTGGATGGCCTTGTTTTCTCTTTCCTTTGGGAGGTAGCCAACATAGTGCAATTTTTGGAGGCCAGTCTTTAGGCACATGGCCAAGAAGCCACATTCAACATTAACTCACAGTTCTCAATAGATGTTCTCAGGGGTGGGCTGCTGTGGGCTCGCAGGAGCTCGGGAGAGCCCCTAGCCTGTATGGGGCTCAGAGAGCCCCCAATAATCTCAGAAAGACAAGCAGCAAGGGAATAGACTTCATTGAACTTCTGGGCATTCAGCCAAGAACATTTCACACCTCGTAAAAGTGTTGCAAGAGCCATTGAGATAATCAGATAACATAGCCACTAGCCTCCAAGGGGATTAATTCCCAAATAATAAGAATCACGTAACTCACCAGAAGACTCCAAGATCCCTCTCACAGTCGCTGCTATTAAGCCTGGTTTAACCCAGTCTTTTATTTTAGTATTAAATGCACAAAGTAATACACAACTTTTCGGTATATATCTTTTTTCTTTTTTTTTTGTAATTAGGGCAAAGAAGTGACCTCGAGCTGGCCACACCCACCCAGTCACATGACCAGCCAGCCACACCCACCCAGCCAGTCATTAGGGCAGAGAGACCCTTGCTAAAAAATTTGAAGCCCACCCCTGGGTGTTCTAAATCTGATCTTTGTAGTACCTCTTCGTTAGTGATATGGTCACCGAAAAGGGAACCCCGCCTTCCCAGAATAAAATATTTCCCCAAGCACAATCTCCCCCCAAAAACGGAAGAACAGCAAATTCCCTTAAGAATAGGCAGGAAACCTCTCCCATCCTCTCTCCACCCAAAATGGCCCCCAGGCATACCTTAGGGGAACAATGTCACAATCAAAACAATATAATGTTGCCCACTCACAAAACGGGACTCCTATTCCGAGAATACTGTAGAACAAAGTGAACTCCAAAAGGACAGGCCAATCGATAAAGGACTGAAACTGGTCACCCAAGCTAGGGCCAAACGAGAAAAACACTTATATCTATATTTCCAGGATCAGCCACAACATCATACACAGCATGAAAAAAAACCTGCAACAGCAA